TTCAGTTTATCGTGAATGTTTTTGTTAGGATCAATTATTTATACAAACAAGGATCCAAAAAATGAAAAATTGTAGAAAAGCAAAATTTTGTCATCGATGACCGAACCATCGACCTATTTTTTAGGTTTTTTTTTTATTCGCAGAAGCGCGCAGCGAAAATGAACCTCAGTTTTGAGGTCCTCGTATGTGCCCCTACAATATGCACAAGACCATTTTGAAAAAGCTCACCACGCCCTGAACGACCTCCCTTGTAAGTCGAGAATCTGGCGTTCCGATTTGAGGGATTCTTGAGAAGCGGATGAGTCCTGTACAAAAATGGCGGAAGTTCCCAAAGTGGCACTGGTCCTTCTGTACAGTTCAAAAAAGTGGACGTTTGATGAAATATTGAAATTTTGCAAATGCTTGCAGAAGTGAGCTTGGTCAAGGGGGTGAGCATAATGGGTGAGTGCGTCCATCGTGTTTAGAGGGGATGTGAAATCAACAACGTGAGAAAAAGTTACGAACAGTCGAATTTCGGAACAAGGTCTTTAAAAATTCGGCAGAATTGCCCAAGTGTCGATGTACAAACCTTTTCAGTGAGTGTGAATGCGCCAAATAACGAAACCGCACAAAAGTCACAGAAGTAGAAGCTATACAATAAAATTTCAAAAATCATGTTCACGCTGGAATGTGACTGACGGACGGAGCGGGGCCTGCAGTGGTGCCTAGTGTGGCACGTCTAAGTCTTCAATTTGTTTTGAAAAAAGGTGGATTCAAAGGAAGAATGGTATCTAAACACTTCCCAAACATTGCCAAGAGTCCCTGCATTTCCTTATAGCCTTGTCCAATATGGTTGCGGAAAATTTTTGAAAAATACGACCACCCTGGTTCCCCTTTCTGATACGACCCCTTTCCCACCCTATATACCACTTTTCTATATTTGACCAACTTCCTACCAGTTTTCCCAATTTTTCCGGACTTTCCCGAAAATTTGCTATTTTTTGCCCAAAATTTTGCTGCCGAGCGAGGGGGGGGGCTACCTATAGCATGTGTAATAACGTGGCGCTCTCCCTTTCGATGTACATGAGCTACTCTACAGTCATTGTTTCCTCACTGGAAGGACAGCGTTTGAAACCCCCCCCCCACACAGGCAAGGGCGAGCGAATCCAATGTCTGTCTTCTTCGCTCCGTCGATGATCAAAAATCAGGTGTATACGCACGTATGTTGAAGTTTTTGAGACATGCAAGCACGTAATGCGATCTGACGATGGGTGCTAGATCGGAGCAATCATCACTTTATGGGATGTTAAGTAGACGCACACTCGAACAAGTCAGATTTTTGGAAAAACTCAACTAATGGCGTGCATAATGTCGTGCGCTGGATAGATACCGTTAGTCAGTTTCGCTGGTTACGAGGAGGCAGTTCGAGCTAATCAAACCGCTAAACAGAAGTGGGTTTCTCCTCGTGTGTAATGAATGCCAGAGATTCTTACAAGAGGATACGCCATGCGGCCAGCTATACACCTAGCCACGACCACACGCGACCTGTCTATGCGTCCCTCTCAAATATGCGAGATATGACGTGACTGTTACGCGCATATCGCTGTCGGCGATTGGAAAATGAACCATCTCCACTGCCACTTTATTTCTAGTTCGGAGCTGCTGCACTTCTACGGCTGCGACCCAGCTCAAATATCCTACAGAAACTATACGTCCTACGGCTCCTTATGCCCAAACTATGCCCGAACAGTGAGGTACAGTCGTCATCCTTGCACTTGATAGGGGCGTGTCGGCGAGAAGGAGCGTGCACACTGTTTGAAGCCTTCTCAGCCTTTTCGTTGAAACGCGTATGCGACAAAAAGTGATAGAAAACGAGTAACACGAAGGATAAGCGATTGCATCAAAGCCAACAACTGAAAAAATGTAGCGCAAACCTGGTTGGGGTAAAGATTAGCTGACACTGCTGGAATCAGAAGAAACATGATTGATGTCGCCGCCGACATCTCGAAGTAAATCCCACACACCTGTAAAAGTGTTGATTTGCGACCGTTTTTCCCCACTCTAAATAAACTCAATACGCGTTCTGCCATAACCACTTAGGAAAGCCGAATGTTGAAAATCGCAATCACTTCCACACTTCAACAGCCTTTCTTTTGCAATTGTATCATTGAATGGCTGCTTCCAGAGCAAAAGCACTCCTCAAAACGAGTTGAGACTATGTGAAACCCCCCCCCCCAATGCTTGCACTTCTGAACCCAGTTTCCTCCCAAAGTCATTAAAAAGATGCCCTTCAGAGCTCTCCAGAAGTTATGTATTAGGTTCTCCCAGAAGTTCATGATATTTCCGAAGTTTTTCTCAAGTCAAGCTCATTCCAGTGAGACATATTACCTTATGTTATCGTTATCTTATTACTTGTTGCCAATCACCGAACAAAAAGTGATTGCCTCGCCTCCAGAGGCTTTTTAGTCCCGTGCAAGAAAGGCGGCCGGGTCGATTTTGGGGTGCTTTTGAAAATCGTATTTTTCAGACAGGGCTACACGAAGACTGTGGTGGCAATCCACCAGCTAGCTTCAAGATCTTGAGCAGTGTCATTTTTGAAATGTGTGACCCTGAGCTGCGCTGGCGCAGGCAAACATTGCTGGGTCGGGATTAATGATGGGGATTTTCATCCTCCCTTTGCAGCTGATTATAGGAGGACTCGCTGGTTACCATAGCGTTGAGAGGAAGGAACTCCCTGCGGTAGGCCCCATGAATGGTTCAGCCTACGCACAGTATCACCTTCCTACTGTATTGATGGGACTGCACGACCGATTCTGCCCTTCCTGGAGGATCTAGCCATTGGCGCTTCCGAGAGTGGTCCACCCAGAGACACCTGCTCCTTATCCAGTCACAGTCGTTACTTCAGTCTGTAAGGCGGTAGCAGGAGAGAAGTTTTATACAGTACCCACATGCCCTTCTCCTTGAGTATCGTTCAACCCATGAGAAAACTTTTTACCGGACCTCAATATTTCTTTAAAGGCAATTCCCGCGACCACACTTCATAGGTAATACAGTTCAAAAATAGAATTGCCCTGTGATTGTTGACTTATTGAAGAGAAGGAACCACGAAAAAGCGTCGATTCCTTCTATTAAATTAATAATAATAATCAGAATAAGACCCTCTTTATTGCAATTGATCATGATCACCGGACGAGCGTAAGGTGGTCAAGATCAATTGTGGATTGCAAAAGGCGGCGATACACTGATAAGAGACGAGAGAGGCCAGAAAATGACGGGCGAGAGAGCGCAATGGCAATGTCACAACGACACGGTCACTGGAGGCCGGCATGGGCCTATCGGGCGCCAATGGGCCTAAAACATGAGCGCCGTGCGTTCTGCTTGCTGTTTTTCAACTTTTAAAAGCAGCATATCCTCTACTGTTGCCTGCTTGATCATCATGCACGTTTATGAGGTTCTAGCCTTAGTTTATCGCGGAACGTGCCTTTAAGGGAGTGACAACTCCTTCACTTGTGCTTTCGGAGCAGTCAAGCGTAACGACGGACGCAGTAGGCCCAAATCCAAGAACGGTGGCCTCTCTGGACGAGGTTGATCTCTCAAGTAGAAGTCACTCAAGCAAAAGCGATCGAGCCATTCCCACGCCGAGCTATAGAAGGGAGTATCAGGACCTAACTCAGGTCAAAGCAACTGCCCCGTGTGGCTCCAACAGGTTGTGACTTGGTGGAAATTCATATAGCGAAGTGTGACAAAATTATGAATTTCATCTACCGTTTTGGATATGACAACAGCGACTGCGAGGGACGGCAAAGCAACTGTGGTTTGTCGGATGCTCACTTATCACACTTCCCATAGACCACATAACTGGATCTCGAAATAGCTGCGGAAATTTGATACGAGATTTTAAAAAATGTCACGAACTTTTGGGACAATCCAATATTCCCCTGTTTCGTAGCTCTTTCTCGAAGAAATGTGTGAAGTGAACAAGAACCCTTGCGGTGAAGGTTGAATCCTAAAACCTATAACCACTTCTGTCTTCAGATTAGGGTCACGTATGACGTCGAGGAAAATTAGTCATCATTATGATCGCAAGTCGGAAGATAGTCTTACTGATGAGGCA